TGTGTATTAAAAAACGTTTACTCTAATAAATAAAAAACATAAAACCATTATTAATCATAATAATTTATATTCCTCTGAACTTACTTTGCCTTTGATCTCTCGATCCAACTCCCATCCAACGATATTCAAATAAATCAAAGAAAATCATAACATAAGATATGACTCTATTAAAAAAAAAAAAAATTCCTCTTCATCGAATAAACAATTTCCAAATCCTTCCGTATCCACTGCTTGTTCCTGCAACAAAAACACGTTCAACATTAAAATAGTTCAATTTCTCGTCGACTAGTCGAATCCAGGTCGAAGGAAATGCGCGTGAGGTCGCATTAATATTCCAAGAAACATCTAAATTCTAGCTCGATCGGTCCAGAAGAGGAACCATCTTCCATAATCGAAGTCGCCGGAATTACTCGACCCTCCCACTTTCCATCGTCACTGTTTCCGAATTCCGGTCAGGTAGATCCGCATCGGCGTTCTCCACCTTTCCGTCATGGTCCGCGGCACGCTTGCCTCGCTCAATTATTACTCGCTACTTCTCGTTACCCGTTGTTTTAAGTTGCCTTCGACCCTTTCTCTCCCCGCTATTCACAACTCGGTCGAGAGACATACCCTCGAATCCTTTTCTCTCTTTGCTAATAACGTGGCAACTGGACTACGTTGCCCGTCACCATCGGGGATATCGTTCGTTGAAAGACGTTTAAAATAGAGAGCCGAGAGATAAAATGGGAGAACGAAAGCGGGGTTTGAATTGAGATTTTTCAATTGGTGGCGAATATTTTTTTAATATTTTATTTTTCGACAAAGATTTAATCTCGAGTCGAAGTTAATTTCCATGATGAGAGAGGTCTTTTTTTTTTTGAAAAAGAGAAAATTAACACGTGCGTTGGAACTACGGTACTAGGTGGAATTTTTTAACAAGGGAAATTGTAAAATTGATGGGTAAAAGGGATGATTATTAAGAGCGGTAAGGTGGATAAAGTTATCTTTTACAGGGAAGAAGAGTAAAACGTAATATTACGAAAGATTAAATTAAAGTAAATTACAAAGAGTTGCGGAGATTAGAATTTTTATGATAAAATTAAAACTTATATGAATATTCGCGTATAAAAGTATTCTTACTCATAAAATGATTAAAGAATTGTAGTCGTTGAACGAAATCAAATTAGATCAACAAAAAAGATCGACAAACGAGGATAGCAATGCTAATATACCGAATAAAATAAGATTATGATTAAACTAATAACGTGGAAAGCTTCGCCAAGCTTGGAAACACGTTATTCTTTTCCAAAACTTTATCCGCCGAATAATCCAGCGTAGCCGTGCGCTGCTCGACAACCAATTATCCTTCCAACTTTCCCCACTTCCGGCCTGACAATTGACAGCGACTGGATGCAAATTAAATACAGGAAGTTTGGCTAAAGCCCGAATGGATTTTCTCATATCACGAATTAACAATATCAACCGGGAGTTTTCAGCCAGAGTTCTCCCACATTGAATTCCTGCCGGATTATTTTCTCCAAGGAATATCCGATTCGCTTCATCAACGACTCCTTAACTTGTGCGTGTTAGTTGAATGGAGGATAAGGGTGAAAGAGAGAAAAAAGGGTGCGAGAGAAAGATGGTCGGATCGTTCGGATGAAATGTTTTGGACGAACTGGAAGCGAGAACTGGAGGAGGTGCGAGGAAGAATCTGCGAGGAAGAGCTCGCGAGACGAAAGGACGACAATTCGATTTTGCAACCCAGATAAAGAAAGCTTTCTTCCTCGTTATAGGTTGCCCGGTTGGGGTTCGAAGCTGGCTTCGTTCTCCCTAAAACCGAGAGGAGAAGAGCGAAAGAGGGTTGGAAAGAATTTCGCTGAAACGAGCCGGCAATGCTTTCGCCGTAGTAACCTTTACACAATGAACGACGCCTAATCGAATTTCTTGGCCTGGGAAAAAACTCCTTCTCTCTCCGCTGTGAAAATTCGGAAGAAAAGATGAACACCCGAGGAAAAGGAAGAAGGTGTTGAACGATCGAATTGTGATTCGTCGATTATATGAAAAAAGAAAAAAATATTCGACTCGATTTTAAAGTTAATCGGAGAAGAAGCAATTGCATATTAATATCATAATAGACGAGATAAAGAATGTTTTGCGTGTGAATGAAGAAAAAAATATTCGATTAATCCGAGAGTAATAATTGAAAAAGATCCTGAGCCCACTTCGAAAGTGAAGTGATTTCGATGCATCGATATTCCTTGCGTTGCGTTTTTTGTAACTATGCTTGTTTTTAGTGGAAACACGAATCGTGCAGCGATGCAAGAGTGCTTTGATAGAATTGGCCATGATTCCAATCACGAACGATTTTCAGCCAATACTAACTGCCATCGCGTTCACCAGTAGAATCGTTGCAGTTTTTCCACCATTTTCCTTCCTTCCTCTTTTTTTTTTTTTTTATTAAATCATCTCCTCGACCAATCCAAACATATCTACCTAAGAGAATTTTTATCCGTATCCATTAATCGAATCATCGTGTTTCATCTGAAACTTTAAGGGGAAAAGAGTCTCGTCAAAATTTATTGTTGTCCTCACATTTATTATTTACAAAATTTTCTTTTCATCCTTCGATTAATTATCCATCCAAATAATAAATCGTATTTGCATCCAATAACATTAATAACTCGCGACGGAATAAAATTCTTAAAATAATTCGATCGAATCAAAAGGATTAAAGAAACATTGTGCCTCCGTCGAACGAAATTCAATCAACGCCTATTTCCACAATTATCTAAAACCATTTTTAGCAAATCCCCCTCCTCTTCGCCACCGAGAAAAAGTCGTGGTAATAATCTTCGCGATTCGAACCGACCCGAATAAACTCTGATTGGCGGTTTGGCACGGTAAAGCCGGGCAAGGAAATCGATTTCCACATGGACAAAGTATTATTATTATTACGAGGGCATCTTGGTCGGCCCATGGGGCGTGAGGGAAACTTGCTCTCCGAAATGTTTGGGGAAAATCAATTTTGTCCCGGTTATCATGCTTATCGGCCGAAGGCCCGGAAACGACGTCAAAGGGGGTCAAAGAAAGTCCGGCGGGACGTTTCGAGTGGCGATGGGCCACTCGATCGACCCAAAAACAAAGCCTGTAACTCGATAGAGACATCCCACCGACACCGTGGAAACTCGACGTGACAGCGGAAGCACGAGTCGATCCTCCTCCGTTTCCGCTCGTCACCCGAGCGGCCGAACAAGGACGATTCGGATAAGGGGCGAGCCTCGACGGCGGCAACCAACCCCCTCCCCAACTGTCCAACTGTCCAACTGGGCATTTTCCTTGTTGGCCGTGCTCCCCTATATCTTGAATAATATCTCCGACCGGTGGATACCGACGGGCACGTCTGCCGAGTCTTGACAAATACCACCGCCACCCCCGTACCTTTCGAGTTTACCTTGCAGGAACGTGCCGCGCATATTTCGATCGGAACGCGGAAGGGAATCGTCCCTGCAATACATTCCCTCCCGGATGATAGAAAATTATTCGGCCACCGATGCCCGCATACCGATTTCGTTAGGGACGTTGAACGGTACCGATGATGGAGCAAGGGGGATGGTCAACGGGGGTTTGTTGTTTCGAGAAAGAGGGTGAGGATGATGGAAGTTTGAAGTGAATTTGTTTGATCGAAAAATTTAAAATGGACGAGGTGGGGATGAGTTGGTCGGTGTTAATCTTGATTTCAAAGAAACCATTCCATTCTTCGCTATTTTCTGATATTCCAATGATGGAACGAGTATCGCGATCCATATATCGAATTCTTCTGGTGGAAAATGAATTCGGCCAGTTTGAAATTCTATCGAAAGAGAGGATCAAAGATGTTAGAAAATTGTAAAGAGTCGTAGGACTCTTATGTGGTTATTGAAATGAAGTGAAGTTCTCTTTGAAATTAAATAAAAACGAATATGGAAAAGGGGGGGAAAAGTAGTGTAAAAATTTTTGATAATTAACTTTTTGATAGTCTGCGAAGTTATGAATGAGAGTTTTTTTGCTTTGCGTTTTTTGAATTTGGTATTTGATATTCGTGGAAATACAGAATTCGATGAATTTTGGGAACTAGGTGAACTTTCGAATTTTTGATTGAAATTATAGAAGAGAAGAATATTATTTATGATTTTTCAAAGAAACTTTTCCTAATTAAAAAAATTTAATCAAAAACTTGAATAATATAATTTAATGAATTTTGATTTGATTTATAATTTCCTACATTTTGATTAAACGAGAGAGAACATCACACAATTTTGTCCTCTCGCAAGGAAAGAGTTTTAGATACTCCGAAGTGTATCTCGATTTCTTCATCGGAAAAGTGGCAAACGTCAATCCGGCCGTGAGAAGTGGCAGCATTTCTTACCTATCTGAATTGCAAATTTCATCTTCTTAATAGCACCTGGATTGAAATGCGGAGTTGAACGTTCAGATGGCTGTAAGACACTCGCCTCGATAAATCTAGCGAAATAAGTTCAACAACGTTCAGTTCAACAAACGTCTTTTAATCCCATTTTTGCATAAGAATTGTCACCAGATTACGGATACTTAAAAATATGTTAAAAATCT